CTGGTTTTTCCAATTGAACGAGCTATCGATCAAACCACACTGGAGTTGCTTCGATTGATTGACATGGTCGTGTATACAGTGTTAAGAACTCAAATTCTTGTTATGAACTGATTAAAACACAACTCCTTAAAGCCTATAAATACACAACTTGTGTTGCGTGTGATCAAATGAAAGAGAGATGGGCATTGAAAAATAGTTGAGAAACATTATTTTTGTCAATTTATACACAAGAATAATATCTCATATACATGATTATGTTTGAGAGATTTCTTGTAAGATCATCAGTGCATCTTTGTTTTATAACATTTATCATATGCATTAGTATATTAGTGTTTTATTGTCGCATATATTGTTATATCCGTTGTTGCTCCTATACAAGTATATTCAACACATCAAAGCAATCAACACCAAATTCTCAACTGGACGACTAGTGGCTAAAGTTAATCACTAAAGAAGCAGATTCACAGTTGCTAAGGTTGTAGACAGATCAGAAGGACGACCTGGAGATCTTTGAAAGACTGAAGCTCTAATGTTCTACTGACAAGGGGTTCAAGAGTACTGTAATGTTAACTTAGGTTATATATCTCTTTCTTGATAGTGGGGATTGGTTGCTTGGACTAGGTATCATGTTTTTTGCTCTCGATTGATTGTTTTTCAATGTAAAAATCTGGCTTTCTAAATTTATTGATTTATTTATTTATGGTTTGAATGCTCTGCTAATATTGCTTGAGTTGACATATTACAGTTTATTTTGTCATAATCCAAGCTAAAACCAAATAAATAAATAAATAAATTTATTTGTTCTACAAGACATATTCACCCCCTTCTTCTAGGTCTAGATCCGTATATGTTTCATCACTGTACTAAGGCTAATGTTTCGAGCATCCAAGATAATCCTCAAGAATCTCTTTTGGAGGAGAGGGATACTCATCATACCGGCCTTCCCATTGTGACTGGCGATAAGGTTATTCAAGCCTCTAAAGTCTCTAGGGATTAATCCAGGATTTCACCTCACTTTGCATTCGAGACTTGTTAAGGCCTCTCATGTTCCAACAACCAATAACTAAGCATTTTGATTAGATGAAATTGCACCACCAGCTAATCTTGCTCTTGTGATCCTTTCAGAAGTAACAACTTGATTTTTCTTCTTCTGTTTTGCTTCTTCCCAGAGCCAGCGGAAGAAGACTTGACAGCAACATCACTTGTTAAAGTGAGACCCTTAGTAGCAACTTTGAAAGCCTGTTGCTCCTCAGCATGTTGCTCTACGGAATGATCAGAAGAAGTCATTGCATCCTTACCCCTTTAGAGGAAGGCCATCTAGTACACCCTCACTAAAATAGTGATCTTTAGAGACTTTAGAGGCTTGAATAACCTTATCGCCAGTCACAATGGGAAGGCCGGTATGATGAGTATCCCTCTCCTTCAAAAGAGATTCTTGAGGATTATCTTAGATGCTCGAAACATTAGCCTTAGTACAGTGATGAAACATATACGGATCTAGACCTAGAAGAAGGGGGTGAATATGTCTTGTAGAACAAATAAATTTATTTATTTATTTATTTGGTTTTAGCTTGGATTATGACAAAATAAACTGTAATATGTCAACTCAAGCAATATTAGCAGAGCATTCAAACCATAAATAAATAAATCAATAAATTTAGAAAGCCAGATTTTTACATTGAAAAACAATCAATCGAGAGCAAAAAAACATGATACCTAGTCCAAGCAACCAATCCCCACTATCAAGAAAGAGATATATAACCTAAGTTAACATTACAGTACTCTTGAACCCCTTGTCAGTAGAACAATGACATGCTGTCAAGTTTACACGTGAGTGGTGTCAAGTTTATGAGTGAGTGGGACGCTCCAAATAGGGTAGGTTTCTATACAAAACCAACGCGTGAAGAACCCTCGTCTTCTCCAAAACTCTTCCTGAAAACGCGATGAAACCAGAAATTTCCGACCATAATTTCCGACCACTGAAACAAGGGTTTTCTTCAACGGCCGTGTCTGATCTTGACCGTACAAGGTCGGACGCATATCCCGAGTCCGTGTCGGTGTCGTGTCGTGTCGATACGGACACCCTCGCCCGAAACGACAAGTCCAGGTAACACGGACAACAAGTGTGAATGATGAAGAGAAAAGAGAGAAAACAAAGAACAATGCTACCGAACACACCGACAACCCAAACAACTCAACAAAAACTGCCGGAGGGTGTACTAGATGGCCTTCCTCTAAAGGGGTAAGGATGCAATGACTTCTTCTGATCATTCCGTAGAGCAACATGCTGAGGAGCAACAGGCTTTCAAAGTTGCTACTAAGGGTCTCACTTTAACAAGTGATGTTGCTGTCAAGTCTTCTTCCGCTGGCTCTGGGAAGAAAGCAAAACAGAAGAAGAAAAATCAAGTTGTTACTTCCGAAAGGATCACAAGAGCAAGATTAGCTGGTGGTGCAATTTCATCTAATCAAAATGCTTAGTTATTGGTTGTTGGAACATGAGAGGCCTTAACAAGTCTCGAATGCAAAGTGAGGTGAAATCCTGGATTAATTCCTTTCATTTGCTTTTTGTTAGTTCCCAATTTTGGGAAGAATTCTTTTTTTAATCAGCATCATTGGAAGTAGGCAAATTATAAATCAAAGGATAATGGAAGGATTTGGGAGACTTGTAATCCCAATGTTTTCCATCATTCTTTTGGAGGAAAAAGCCCAATGTATGTATGTTTCTGGAGATGCATATCCTTGCTTCTCAACAGCTCTTTTTCTTTTTGCTATATATGCTGCTAATTCTGTGAAAGATATGAGAATCTTGTGGCAGTCTATTACTCAACAGTCTCAATTCTCAAAGCGTGAATAATTAGAGCTCATGGTGAAAAGGCTAGTGATCCCAAAGTACCTCAAGGAGTTATTTTTTTTTTTTTTTTTTGATAAGTAATAATATATTAGAAAAACGTTCAAAAGGGGAACGTGTCCCTAATACATTCAAGGAGTTATAGATGAACTCAATTTTGTTATAGATGGATGTGGCGTGTTTGAGGTTGCTAATGGTGGCTGGACTTGGACTAGTAAGCAGTTCACAGGGAGAAGGATTTGGAATAAATTGGATATAGGGCAGGTGAATTTTGAATGGCACCATTCCTTTCCTAACTCTAAGATTGTTCTTCTTTTTGTAGCTTCTCTCTCTGACCATTATGGAATATGATGGAGGTTGAAGCCATTGTAGCCAAGGTTTGGCAGAATTCCGTCCAAGGAAACAATTTTAGACTGGTTAAGGAGGAAACTAAAGTTTGGAATATGAATAAATGATCTTTTCTGATAAGGTTGAACATTACAGGAAGTGATTACATGATATTCAGTTTCAGATGCAAAGTGACCCTTTTAATGAAGTTTTAATTACTGAAGAGCATACTGCAAAGAAATACATGGAGATGGCTTTGAGACATGAAGAAATTCTTTGGGCACAAAAATTCAGAATTTAACGGTTAGGGGATAATGACAAGTGTAATAAAAATTTTCATCAAAAGGTCAAGCAGAGAAGAGATTTCAAGTCACTTACCATGCTGTAGAATAACAGTAGTGAGTATTCTATAGGTCAGTCAACTATTAGAGGATGGATAGTTGATTTTTAAAGCAACTTGTTCTCAGCTTCTCCTACTGTTTGCCTGTGTTTGGATTATCCTAGAATGATTGCTGAAGAGAGGTTAGAAGGATGCTTCAAGCTGCCATCTATGAGGAAGAAATCAAGCAGATAGACATGTCTTCTAAGCCAGACTAGGGCCTTGGCCTGATGGCTTTCCTAACAGATTCTTCCAAAAATATTGGTCAATAGTCAAGGATGAGGTTGTCAAAGCTATCCAATTCTTCTTCTCCACTTCTTCACTTCCTAAAGAAGACAATAGTACCCTTATCACTCTTATCACAAAGAAGAATGAGTGTTTGAAGGTGGCAGACTATAGACCTATTTCCCTATTTTATACAATTTATAAAATCATCACACCAATGGACGAAGTATGAGTCTGTGCAAGCTTATCTAGAAGGAGCAGGCTTTCAAGGCGGATCTTGTCAAGGCTTGTGATTCAGTTTACCGGAGATTTATTTCTAGTATTATCAGGGGTATGGCTTTAGTGATATCTAGATTAATTGGGTCATGAAATGCATTTATTCTGTGAATTTTTTGGTCTTGATGAATCGGGTTTGCTCTGGGTATTTTCCTCCCTCCCTCCCTCCCTCCTTTGCTCCTGCCTTGTCACTGATTTTTCTCGGATGATGGAAAGGAAGGTCATAGAGGGGCAAATTGAGAGAGTAGGAAGCCAGTCTCAGAAATGCTACGAATTTAGCTGATCTTTTTCTCAATTTGAAGAAATTTCTGGTTTAAAAGGCAGTATGGACCATGGAGAAGAGCCCGATCTTTTTCTCTAAATCGTTAGCTAAAAGGAAGGGTATTCTGAGGTTATTGAGATTTAAAAGTAGTCCTCTCTCTTTTAATTATCTAGGGCTTCCTATGGTGGATAGAAACCTTAAGAAGAGGCACTGTTCTTCTCTGATAGATAAGGTTTCTGCGAAGATTTTTGGCTGGAATGCTTTCAATTTGTCTCTTGTGGGTAGAATAGAGCTTATCAAATCAATTATTTCCTCTTTCTATTACTACTGGGCAGCTGACTTTTCTATCCCTGTTATGGTTCAGAAACATTTAGAAAGAAAAGTTGAGGATTTTCTTTGGGGCAGTACTTTTGTTAGGAAGAAACTGCACCTCAACTTGGATAAGGTTACATTACCAAAAAGGGAAGGTGGCCTTGGAAAGTATAAAATGTTCTTCTAAATGTTTCTTTAACCTAGGACATGATACAAATCAAAAAGGCTTTATGGATTGCATGTTTTAGAAACAAATATACGAGGAAGGCTAATCTCTAGAATTGCACTCTTAAATAAGGTGATTCAGTTGTGTGGAAGAGTATGCTTTCTGTCAGGATTTCTTGCTTCATCATCCTACTTTCAGGTGAACAATGGAAGGCTTTTCAGTTTGTTTGTCGATCACTGGTTTACACAGAGATGTTTTTGTAGCAGATATGCTTGTTTCCGGGAAATGGCAAGTTCCATCATCTTGGCCTTCTGAGATTTCTCTTTTTCTCGGTCCTTTAGTAATCACTTGAAAGAAGACATTATCTGGAAGCATACTTGAGAGGATTTTTTGTCCATGTATCCCATATTGAATGAGTCACTGCAGTCTGGAAACGGGTTGTGTTTCTCATTGTCGGAATCTGGGAGGAACTTCATGAAGGAAAGATGAGTTTGATTGGAAGTGCAAAGGCAGAGAAGCTGGGGGAGAAGTGGAGTGCTTTGCAGGTTTATGAAATCAAATTATACCTAAAACGTGTTGAGTTTATTCAGGAACAGACTAAATTAGTGTTGGCTGAAATGAAGTCTGGTACGTCATATAGTTTTGGTTGAGGTTATTAGCAGTTTAATGGGTTGTGTATATTTGGTGAAATGTAGTAAAATATTTGGTTTACTGGAATGGCATTAGTATTGTTTAAGATACTGGACTTTGACATTAATTTTGGTCTGAATTATTCTATTCTAAGGTTTTGAATCCATTAGTCTTTGTTGGGTGATACAATTTGATACCATGCATCTCAGTTTATGTTAACAGAAATATATTTTTTATAGTTCAGTCGGCTGATATTTTTTCTTTTTAAATAATTATGCTTCCGTGTTAAATTTTTGGTTGATTAATTATGTGGAAATTACCAATATTTGCATTGGTATGAACTTAAGCTAAATCCTAAACCAAGGGACCAACACATTTTGCACTCTACAGTCTACACACAATCCAAACTTCTTTAAATGTGAACATACAATATTTCCACCTATACGAATCATTTCCTGATCTCAAAATAATAGAAGACAGAAAGTTCCTTAACTGTTGAAGAGTTACAGAAAAGGAATTCTGGACATTCCAATTACCATTTCGCTATGTTTGGGAGCACCGAATCGGCAGTTTGGATTTGGAATTGAAAAAAAATTTAGTTCGAATTTCGAACTAAATTTGCTCCAATTTCAAATCCAAGGCACCAATTCAGTGCTCGCAAATGCTACATTTGCGATAATAGAGGCAATCCAAACATTTTTGGGCAGATTCAACTCTCTATATAATCTAGAGTGAAACTTGTCCAGCAAAGTGTAACCTTCACAACAGGGACCCGTAAATCATCTAAATGACAAGCATCCCCAATAGCAAATTTAATGTGCTGCAACATAGCATCCCTCACAGACAACATATTCTTCCATGTGAAAGACAGAAGAAGATGGTAAGCAACTCCAAAACAACCATCACTTGACATACAATATGGCATTCCAAACAAATCATAACCTAGGCACGTGGATTGTGCATTTTTTGAGAATATTGCAACCATTATTTTATTTTATTTTTTCATCTTTCTAGTTTTTCTTGGCTCCTGATAATCAAATTTATTTCAAGTTTCATGACTTATTAATAACAAGAAGCTCTACTCCAACTTGCCAGGGTGCCTTGCCTCCAAGCTACCTTACCTATGAATGCATCAGCTTTTGGATCTTGGTTATAGATCTTTTCAACTAATTTCATCTGCTTTTCCATATCAACTTTTCTTTGGTTATTGAAATTTTGAAGAAAAAACAACAGAAAAAAATAATAATAATAAACCTGCTCTGTTTTGGCCTATTTCTTATTCCAACAAATGAAAAACTAAATTCAAGAAGGCAAAATGGCAGAACTAATTTATCAATTATTGTTAGATTCAATTTTTTGATTTCTCATGGTTTCCCCTATAACCAAATGTATCAATCCCAAAATCAACAATTGGAAACACATAAAAGAAGACAAAATTTGAAGATTTTCTTTTATTTATTTCATCAATTTATTGGCAATAGCGAGCTAATTATTCTCTAAAAAGAAGGAACTCATTCAAGAATCCCAAAAATTACACCCAAAAAAAATCTGTAAAATTCAGGAAGGTACTCAATCTGATCACTCAGACAAATGGAATCAAATGTATATACATAAATTTATGGCTCAATTTAAACATGTATAACAAACATCTGTGTGTATTTGTGAAGAAAGTGTGTTCCAGAGAGATATCTGATTACGACGGGTGATGAATAAATGAACAGTGCAAGTGGAATTGACTGTTAAATGCATAAGCAGTGATTTTTATACTTTGACCATTCGGTGAATTTCATCACGCTAATTTATTTTCGTTTAGAATTGATGCCCTAATTAAGAATTGATGTACTGTTCTAAAACCTTAATTAGAGATTTATTGACCATGCTAGAAATTTCTTAAAGAAAAATTTTGACATAATTATCTTAAGGACTAGTGAAGTGTAGATAAAAAAAAAAAAAATTAGATAAAATGAGTTAAATTTGTATACAAATATTTGAGAAGATACTAAAGATTACAATTGACATTTGAAAAATATGTATACAAAATATCTAAGATATATAATGGTGAAAATATTAAAAAATTTGCTAATCTAAAATAATCTAAAGAAAATAAAAATGTGGGAGTGAGTATAAGTACCCAATTAAGCCTTTTATATTGAAAGCTCTCGTGCTTGGGTAAATTTAAATACATGAAAGTTCAATACTGAAGTTTTTCATTTGTTTTCTTAATTTATAGTTAATATGTTAAAATTATATTCTTTTACGTACAAGTATTCGTCAAAATCCTAACTCCTTAATAGATGATGTACGTTATCAACAAGTTAGAACCGTTATGCTCTCTTTTTATTTCACGTTTAGAGACTTTTTTTTATACTAAGAAATAATAAAAAATAATCAGAATCACATTCCATCCGCTCAGCATTAATTGTAGCACATTCTCTCTCGACTATTTTCTTCGTTGGCAGTGAAATAATAAAAAATGGTCCAAAATCCCATTCCATCCTCTCAGTATTAGGCGCAATAAATGCATTCTCTTGGTGTATTTGACATTGAAATGATAAAAAAAAATTGAACAAAATTACACTTCACACACAGTATTTATAGCAGTAAATTCTCCTATAATTTTACTGAATTACAATTGCAAATCAATTTAGTTTTCCTGTTTTGACTTCAAAGTTTTGTAGTGAGGTTTTTATTTGTTTGGTTAATTAATATGAGTATATATTTGACACTAGTAATTGATTCGTTAGTGATAGGTTTTAACTTACATGAAAATAGAGTGGAAATTTTGGATTCAATGTTGTTTGGGAGAAATTTAGGGAGAGGGTGCCATTCTTCCATCTGTCCAAATGACACAATATGCGTTGGATGCAAATCAAACTGAGTAGATGTTTTGCAAAACTATGTCATCGCGAAGTGTTTCAATATTTTCATCAAATTATCTTATGCTATGTTAGGTTGTTATCCTGCCGTGTGGGACTCATCTTGTTGAGAATTTTCCTTTAGAGATAGATCTTTTCAACTAATTTCATCTATAAGATTTCCATATTACATTACTCTACTCTGTTTTGGCCTATTTCTGATTCCAATTTCCAACAAATGAAAAACTAAATTCAAGGTGGCAAAATGGCAGAACTAATTTATGAATTATTGTTGATTCAGAATTTTTATTTCTCATGTTTCCAATATCTTAAAGCATCTAAATGTATCCATGAATCCCAAAATCAACAATTGGAAACACATAAAGAAGACAAAATTTGAAGATTTTCTTTTATTTGTTTCATCAATTATATAATGTTACAAGCTAATTATGCTCTAAAAGAATCCTAAACGTTACACAAAATAAAAATAAAAATAAAAACTGTAAAATTCAGGAAGCTACTAAATCTAATCACTCAGATAAATGCAATCAAATGTTAATCCGCTGTGTATACAAAAATTGATGGATCAATTTTAATATGTATAGAGCTGATCATAGAGAGTGTTTCAGTGAGAGAGACCTTATCATGGAGAAAGACTCTAAACACGGGTTATACACATCATCAGTGTTATCAATTAATTATATAATGTTACAAAATAAATAATTATATTTATTAATAAGTCCTATTTACGTGTTAATATTTTAATTAGTTGGTGATATTTCTCTAATAATGACGGGAATGAAGAATGAAATTCAAATTGATTTACAAATTTTAGTTAGTTCAACTTCAGTCAAATTTCACCACGCTCATTTGTGTGTGTGTATATATATATATATATTTTTCCCGCCCCATCTTTAATCAGTAGTTTTTAAAAAATGTCCAACAAAAATTTTATAATCCTATCTTATTATAAAGTTTAGGTCATCAAGTACCATTCTTCTCTTTTCCCATATTTTGATGTCCTTCTGATTCTCTGAATTGGTGTTTGTTTCCTTTATTGGGATTTGCAGCTTTTACCTTGTTTTTTCCTATATATCCCTAATTAAGAATTGATGTCCTATTCTAAAAACGTTATTAAAATTTTATTTATTGATCATTCTAGAAATTTCATTTAAAAAAAAAAAATTACTTAACATATTATCTTAAGTACCAAATAAAAATGTGGAAGTGGGTATAAGTACCCAGTTTAAGCCTTTTACATTGAAAGCTAAGGGAGGAATTGTTTGTGCCTTGCTGTTGTATACAACTATTCTTAAATTTAGCATGTGTAGTTTTTGTTGTTTTAAACTCTATACATTCCACGACCTATAAAAAGTATTGGGCAAAATAAAAATATATATAAAAGATAAAATAAAATTTGTAAATTATGTGATTAGTTCATGTATCACGGGTTGCTTCGGTAAATTTCATTTATTTGGCTAATTATTAGGTAGTGATCCATATGTCAAAATCACATCCATTGACGGATAAGTATTTGTCACAAATTTTCTTCACTCTTTTTAAGATATTGTACCTTATCAACAAGTCAGTATCTAAGCTATTTTTATTCCGTATTCCTCTCATATTTTCGAGATTGTTTAATATTTTGTTGGGGGTGGCAATGAAATAATAAAATATAGCACCGTAAGTTTTGTTCTGGATTTCTCTCTCATGTTTTCGAGTGTGGTGGCAGTGAAATGATAAAGCGATTTTTGTTTTAAATTTCTCTCCTATTTTTTCGAGATTTTTTAATTTTTTACTTTTTTTTTTTTTTTTGTTGGCGATCCGTGGCATCTTGAAGTGCAAACCAGTATGGGTTTTGCTCTGCATTAGTCTCTCATGTTTCCGAGACTAGCTAGTTTTTATGCTGGCAGTGAAATAATAAACTAATCGCCAAAATCACATTCCATCTGCACAATATTTGTCGCAATCCATTCTCTCACAAGTATTTTTTTATTTTAAACAACGTCACATTCCAATATAGTATTTGTCGCAATAAATTCTCCACCCTTTTCAAGATGCTAAAACTTATCGATAACATTACTGAATTCCAAGTGACTGAAGTTACTTTTTACTCGGACTTCTAAGTTTTACGCTTAGTAATACTAGTAATTTTATATGTTTACAATAAAATTGTAAAAAACCAAAGATAATATCACATTAATCCTCTCTTAAGTTAAGATCTTAGTTTCCAACATAGTGAGATTCGTTCGTGCTAGGTTTTAACCTACACTAAACCATAACCAAAAGTAATGAAAATGGCACAAATATCATAGGTAACAATGACACAAATGATTCAGCATAACATTAAACGGTAAAATATATATTTATACACATTATAGCACATACTAGTTTTTTTAAAAATTCAACAAACGATTTCAGTTACTAGAAGAGAACAACAAAAGCGTCAAAGAAATGTCATACAATGCTCCAATTCAATTATTTTCGTTTTGAAAAATATTAAATCAGAAATTTCAATTATTGAACCGTCATTCCAATTACTACCAAGTAGAAGAGAATATATTTAACGTTTAAAAATAAGACAATATCAAACAGGTTTTTAGATTAACACATTCCGTATTTAAAATTTTAACGTTTGAAATTAAGTACTTACAATTTTCAATACTTCATTTTCAGTTTTATCAAACAACACGTAAGTGAAGTACTCCGCTATCCTAAACGGTGATTTAATTTTTTTTGTATATTTTAATTATGAGTATAGAAAAAACATAAACAAAAAGGAAAAATTTAAGAAAAAATACACATACTCCGTTGTGATTTAATTATTTTTTTATATTTTAATTGCGAGTATAGAAAAAATAAAAACAAAAAATGGAAAATTTTAATTAAAAAATACACATATTCCATTGTGATTTAATTATTTTATTTTGAAAAATTGAGAGAAAACTCATCTGAGTGGTTGGCTCATTATCAATCTTTCAATTTGTAACTTTTCAACGTACGTAATTGACGCATCTCTCTTGCGTTTTTTCTTATTTAACCATTTAGTCCCACTAACATTAGTCTTAAACACATAACACGTTATTACTCACAAAAGTCTCTTTTGTCATCCACTTCAATTATAAAATAACTATTTTATTTTTTAAAAAAAAATTATATTTTTGTTCTATAAAATAACGTCTTTCATTTCCAACTCTCTCAAAATTGTTTCCGACCTAATGGACTCAAATGCTCCGACTCTGTTTTTCCGTCCTCAATCAGAGTTTAAGGATGAGAGCGAAAATGGGGTTAGGGTTTTTGACACAAATTTCTTGCAAAAACAAGCAAACGTGCCCACAGAGTTTATTTGGCCACATGGCGACTTAGTTCCAAATCAAGAAGATCAGCTCAATGAACCCTTAGTCGATTTAGAAGGGTACTTTAGAGGTGACGAGTCTGCAACTATATTTGCAGCCGAACTTATCAGGAAGGCTTGTTTGAACCATGGTTTCTTCCAAGTCACCCACCACGGTGTTGATGCGGCTCTTATTCATGCGGCGCAGAATCAAATGGATGGATTTTTCAAACTTCCCATTAATGAGAAGCTCAGAGCTCGGAGGAACCCTGGTAGCATGTGGGGATATTCGGGTGCCCATGCTGATCGTTATTCAGATAAGTTACCATGGAAAGAGACGTTTTCTTTTGGCTACCATGAGAATGGAGCAAAAACAGTTGTGGTGGATTACTTCAAATCGGTTTTGGGTAATGATTTTGAAGGAGGAGGGTAAGACTAAAATAGCTAAATTCCTTTTTTTTTTTTAATTTCATTGCATATACAAGTATCCTCTACAAGCAACAATGACCAATCGTCAAGTTGTTGAAATATTGTCTCTGTTTCTGTTTTTGTCCAGATTCTTTATTTTGTAACTTATTATTTAAAAGTTATTTCGATATAATTTTATTATCATCATTTTTGTCTTAATTCTATATGAATCACACATTTCATATATATATATATAGTTACTAACAATATTACAAAAAAACAATGTTCTTATAGGTTGATCTTTCAAAGCTACTGCAAAGCAATGAAAGAACTGTCTCTGGTGATTATGGAACTCTTGGCAATTAGTTTGGGAGTGGAGCGCTCATACTATCGTAAATTCTTTGAAGATGGTAGTTCAATAATGAGATGCAACTTCTATCCACCTTGCCAGGAACCGGGCCTCACCCTTGGAACTGGGCCTCATTGTGATCCGACTTCCTTAACGATACTTCATCAAGACGAAGTTGGGGGCCTTCAAGTATTTGCAGACAACAAATGGCAAGATGTGAAGCCTCAGCCCAACGCCCTTGTGATTAACATTGGTGATACATTTGTGGTAGGTTTTCATTAATAATGCTACGTCTTTTCTTTCTAATTAAAAGTGGATTATATATAGATATTATGTATATAGAACTAAAATATGAGTTATTGATAGATCCAACATAAATGACATATAAAGATATTGACAAGATTTTGAGAAGACTATTGATAACTACCTAAGCATGTCTATATGAGGTAGGGTGTTGGATTGTAGTTGTTTTTAAAGTGGCTATCGTTAATATTCTTGAGGGACCACTAATACAAACTCACTAAGCTATTATATGTATATATTTTTATTTTTAAGGCAAAAAAATATTAAAAGTTAGATTAGTAAATACATATTCTATATATTTATGGATTTTCTTTTTCTTATATATATAATTGATGGTGAATTAGGCATTATCTAATGGGATATACAAGAGTTGCCTGCATAGGGCAGTGGTGAACAGGGAGAGAGAGAGGAGGTCACTGGTTTTCTTTGTGTGCCCGAAAGAAGACAAGGTGGTGAGACCCCCACAAGATCTTGTTGATAGAGAAGGGCCAAGGAAGTATCCTGATTTCACATGGTCCGAGCTGTTTGAGTTCACACAAAAGCACTACCGAGCAGACGTAACAACACTCCAATGCTTCATTCGTTGGCTTCTATCTTCCAAGTCCAACTAACAGCTAGTCTCTTGGATGCTTTTGATCATAGCGTGTGTTGGCTTCTTATGCTTGTTATATATATATATATATATATGCAAACCCTATCTCCCTCTCAAGTTTATGTGGCTATCATGTAACACGAGTAGCTAGTGAGTAGGTTTACTTTATCAGCTACTGCTTTTTAGCACTGTACATGCAAGCTTTCCGGTGTACCGTTCCGTTTGTCTGAAAAATAAATGTTCTGTAATATAGTTTTTCATTCCCAGAAACTTGCCTCGTCTTTTTCATTTGTTTAATCAAGATAGTATCGAGAAGTTCTGCAATACCCTAGAGGTGCGATACTCTCGGAATCTCCAAATTGTTGGATCAGATGCATGAGTCTCACCATATTATCTTAAACATGATCTCCATGTCCCATTTCTGCATGTATATATGGATCCAAGTATTAATATGTACTACCATGTATAATAAACAGTGTGGTCATCCTTGATTAAAGCTTAATTTTTCTGAAAGGTGCTAAAATTGATTTACTCGAAATATGGAGAAACTTTTTTGAATAAAATGTGCAATAGTAATCTATTGGGCTTCAATTTGAATGTGTGCTAACAGTTTCATCTCAAAAAATAACTATATGGTTTCAGGATTATTAGTTCTCATCAATTACAAAACAATACATAAATAAAGAATTGATTGAAAATAACATAAAGTTAAAACGTTTCCTGACAGTTTCATCTCAAGAAATAACTACATGGTTTCAGAATCATTTCAGCTAATTACAAAACAATCCATAAATAAAGAATCGATTGAAAATAACATAAAGTTGAAACGTTTGCTGACAGTTTTATCTCAAGAAATAACTACATGGTTCCGGGATCATTAGTTCCAGCCAATTACAAAACAATACATAAATAAATAATCGGATAAAAATAACATAAAGTTAAATCGTTTGTTGACAGTTTCATCTCAACAAATAACTACGTGGTTCCAAGATAATTAATTCCAGACAATTACAAAACAATACATAAATAAAGAATCGATTGAAAATAACATAAAGTTGAAATGTTTGTTGACAGTTTCATATCAAGAAATAACTATATGGTTCCAGAATCATTAGTTTCAGCCAATTACAAAACAATACATAAATAAATAATCGATTGAAAATAACATAAAATTAAAATATTTGCTGACAATTTCATCTTAACAAATAACTATATGATTTTAAAATTATTATTTTCAGATAATTATAAAATAATACATAAATAAAGAATGAATTGAAAATAACATAAAGTTGAATCGGTTACTTTATCAGCCATTTCATGATTGGGCCGTAATCAACTATAATCCTTGTTATTAGTGCGGTGTACCTGATATGGAAGTTGACATGTCAACAAGTAAGTTTCATTTGAGTTGGGCAGATCAATGAGACATATAAACACTAACAATGTGACAATGGAGTGTGGTGGGGTTCACTCATATGCGTCACATTTTTAAGGACATTCAACGGACTCGTGGGGTCACTTACATTACATGACTCACATTTGAGGACACTCGGATAGAGATGGTTGAGCTCATTTGTTGCCACTACCAAAATAGATGTTTCTTGATGTGGTTTGAGTGGAGGAAAAAAATAGCAAATTGTACTCGTATCAATATTCTTGCTAAATTATTTTATAAAATTATTACAAAGAAAGTTGAATCCACAATCCACTATTAATATATATGTGTGTGTATGAATTTGTTTAGAACAAATGAGCCCTAATCTTGAGATTAACTATATAAATTTCCATCCACATGTCTAATTACAAAAATACCCAACTCCATGTTAAAATTTCCAAGATTGAATTACAAATTCAACGTAATTTTTTTTTTTAAGAAAGTCTCTCTCCGTTGATCTCCTTCAAGCTGGTCGTGGTTATATATTTTTCAATTCATAATAGTTGACGGATGAAGTTTGAGAATATTATGGTATGCTTGATTTGTCATTCAAAAAATAATTTTCAAAAATTAAAAAATATTTTTTCAAAAAATAATTTCTTAAAACTATCAACTAAGCATATTTTTTTTACGAGTTTTTGAAAAAAATTGAACCAAAAAATACCTTACATTCTACTTAATAACTTGAAGAAACAACAGTAAAAGTTATCCTATACATTTATGACCATGTATATAACAACTCCTTGCGCTAAAAGTGTTGTATTAGTGCATTAAAAGTGGTACCAAAATATGTATGTAATAAAGAATAATGGTAAATTTTAAGTGGAATACCATTGCATAAATGAACTGTTTTATGTATATGTGTGTGTGTGCACATGTGCGCGCACAATTGAAACTTATGTGATTTTAAAAGAACAGTAGATAGGATGGTCTAATCGCAACAAAAGCATAAGTATAAGAAAAAGAGAATGTCAAAGAATTCTTATACCACATCCCATTTAAAAAGAAAAAGTCTTAATCTTGTACGATGCAATACCACCTAATAATTTACTTTTCAACCGATAACAAGTTTGAGTGTTTTACATTTTACTACGATTATATGAAAATAAGGGTGGAGGTATATCAAAACAAAGCCCAAACCTTCATTAATATTTTGCAGGTTCATTTTTTTTTTTTTTTTTTTTTGGAAACTAAAGAGTTGCTTGATTTGTAAACTGTTTTCAGATAATTATAAAACACAATTCTATAAAAACATGAGTATGCTTGATTTGAAATTATAAAAACCATTTTCAATAACTCAAAAAACATAAAATTATTATCAGATAACAATCTTTTATAATTATATAAAAACAGGCATTTTTATAACTGACTTTTCAAAAAATAATTTTCAGAAAATTAAACCAAATAAACTTTTTGTATAATTTTTTAGAACAGAAAACAGTTTCCAGAATTACAAATCAAGTAAATTCATATATTTTTATAACTTAGTGTTTAGAAAACTAAACAAAACAAAAAAATTTGTACAATTTTTTGTTTTTAATTTTTTTAAAATAAAAAATTATTTTTAAAATTACAAACCAAATAAGTTCTAAGATATTCAAATTATGCCTCAATTAATTTATTATTTATTATTATTATTTATTATTTATTATTATTTATCTAAATGGCCATCTCGAACCTTCATCCTTTTTATTTTTTTATTTTTTTGGCGGTAGTTATCCTTGAGATGGATTTCCCATCAATATTAAGGCAAAAGTATATAATTGTGACATGCACTTGTGGCCCGCCTCACCCCACCCCGTGCATTTTCCAACATCTTTCATTTTGTTCACATGAGTAGACACCTGCAGGCATTGTGAAATGATGATAGGGATATACTATCACATCCCAATGCATGTGCACGTGACCATGCCTACTTTTTCTACTGAATTTCTCTATGTGGGCACGTGACTGGGACCTGGGTTATGTTGTTTCATCAACCACTTGTCCATTACCATTAAAACTTGCCCATCACTATCCTTTCATTTTTTCGGTGGAATTTATTAGGTGGGTCCATCTGTATTGCACCATATATCTATTCTTGTCTGGACCATCTTACAAATATGCCCCCATCGCCATGATTGCTTAGTTCTTTTACAATTTTACATGGCTTGGTTAGATCCATTATTTTATTTTTTTTTATTTTTTTTATTTTTTATTTTTTGTGTTCATCCACCAACTCTAAAAGTCAAATTTATACAAGGAGACCAAAAAGAATAGTTTGGCAAGTGTTTGGAAATATAAAAATTGTTTTAAAACGAGTGTGTGAACAAAATATTCTTCTTAGCTTCATTGTTAGAAAAATTTTCAATAAGTGCTCAATGTACATGAGATGGAACTGTACATATCTCACGGTGTATTATTAGATGCTCTAAGAAATTCAATGCCACCATCATCGAAAAAAAAATCAAAATATTAAATGTCAAATCCTATTAATCCTATATTATTAATCATCATGCTACTTAGAATGTTTGGCATGCAAGGTCGAAGATTTGAAAACAAGGATGAATAGGCCTTTCCTAGGATACAGATACTCTTGACTTAATTTCTCCCTCCAAGATCTCCAAACTTAAATAGGATAGCTACGAATATATACTACATGTTTCTGGGCAAGAATGTTAAATTAGAAGTTAGAGATACAAAGGGTTGAAGTCAAATTCCCCTAGGACATAGATCCTCTCGAATAATTTCTCTCTCCAAGATCTCCAAACTTAAATAGGATGATTACAAAAACATACCACATGTTTCAGGGCAAGAATGTTATTAGAGGTGCGAAGGCTCGAAACCAGAACAATGGGGAGCAACCCGCATGTTTACTTGAATTAAATTGTGTGTTAAACCATACATAGTGGATGGTTACATAAATAATGACGTGACATATATATTTTTTATTATTATTGTTGGATGGATAATTAAAGTGCTTCATAAAAAATAATAGAAAGAAAAAATCACGCAGGTGGCTCATTAGATAATTGGTCTCCAATAATGAACCGTAAACTCGAATATCTTAAATTTAACTTTTACGAGAGGTAAAAGCCATTAAATTTAAATAATATATTAGGTTATACATTACAATCTCGTGTACTAAAAGTTACTAGGTTGAAAAAGTTCTCTATTTACAAAAATAAATAAATAAATAAATAGACATCAACAAAACTTTTAAAAAGAATAGGGATTACATGTTTCAGGGCAAGAATATTGCATGAAGACTCGATGCCGGAACAACGGGGAGCAACCCGTGTTTGCATATTTACTTGAATTAAATTGTGTGTTAAACCATACATGGTGGATAGTTATACAAATGATGACGTTGGCATATTTTTTTGTTATTATTGTTGGATGGACAATTAAAGTGCTTCATCAAAGATAATAGAAAGAAAGAGTCATGCGGATGGGCCATTAGTTTATTGGTCTCCAATAATGAACCATAAACTCAAATATCTTAAATTCAACTTTCACGGGAGGTAAAAAAAGTTAAATTTAAATAATATATTAGTTTATACATTACAATCTTGGGTACAAAAAGTTACTAAGTTGAAAAACTTCTCTATTTACAAATAAAAAAAACTAAAAAATAAATAGAGATTCAAGGAAACTTTTAAAAAGAATAGGGATTACATTATATTTGTGAGTCACGGTTCCCTAAACATGACACTTTTTATAGGACGGAGGAGTAAAAAGAAAGAGTCATGCCGGTGGCCCATTAGATAATTGGTCTCCAATAATGAATTGTAAACTTGAATATCTTAGATTCAACGTTGAAAAAGTTCTCTATTTACAAAAAATAAATAAATAG